GGAAATATATAGGAAAAGAACCTTGTAAGTTTCAGTTGGTGAAATTTTGATGTATGTGATTATATATATATATATATATATATATATATATATATAACCAGATATTGCACATGCAGTGAGGTGGTCAACCAATACATGAGTAATCTAGGTAAATATCATTGTCAGGTGATAAAGTGAGAGGAAAAATCAACAGAGTACCATATTTTGGAAGTGGAAAGATAAATCTACAGTGATATGCAAGGTCTTGTAGATGATATTGATGATAGAAGAAGTATAACACGTTATATCTTCATTTTGGTAAACACAACAATGAGGTGAGTTTTTCAAGTTACATGAATTTTGTTGCTTAACCAAAAAAAAATATGTTGAGATTTTCATACCTATTTTACACTGTTTTCGATGATATTGCACTTTAAAAGAAAGATATTTTTGATGTTTTGTTGCAGATGTGATGAATTATGTTTTGTTGCAGGTATGATGAATTATGGTCATTGGAGCAAAAAGATGCAAAAAGGAGCGAATTTGAAGCGAAAAGGATCAAAATACGAAGAATTGAACTAGGGCGCTGACGGCGAGAACTTCCCGAGACTCCAGATCAATTAAATTAGAAGGCCCGCCGACGGCGCCCTCGAGGCCGCCGACAGCGAGATCGGCGGTTATTTCTAAAGGTGCATTGAATGTGGACGATTTTTTTAGGGATGCTTAGGCAACTCTTGAGAAAAACGCTTCTACATCTTTAAAGAAAGATTTTGGCCGAAAATTAAGAGGGTTTCAGGAGAGTTGCAAGTGTTTGGAGAGTGTAGAGAGTTTACTTAGGGTTAGATTGTGAGGAATTCTTCGAGAGATTGTAAGAGTAGAGGAAAAGTGAGAGATTTTTTCCTCCTTGCCGCTTCGAAGAAGAATTCTGTATGTTGTAAAGAAAGGAAGAGATTCAGAGGAACTTCGAGGAGTTTTATTAGGGAGAAATTAAAGATATGTGTTATTTACTTGTAGTTTGTATGACTTTGCTTTTATATATGAATTTCGAGTTTTGTTGTGTCTTCTCCATGAGTTCTGAGTAGTTTTCTCTGTCTTTCTCCTTGTCTTGAGATTTGTGAAATGGTGATTTGAATTGGTTGAGCTTTAAAAATGTTAAAGAAGTTGTGATGATCTTTTCACTTCGATCTTAATTTACTTTCAATCTGACCAATTGATTTGTTAAAATATATTGAATTTTATAACTAAAGTGAATATTACACCCAAGATTCAGGGAGGTCAAAGCCCTTGGAAGTTGGGTGCAAATAAATAGGGAAATAAAATTATCAGGCGTAGAATTGGAAATTTTAAAGTGACTGACTAAAATCCCCAATTCGGTCCTATCGTTTGGGTGATGAAGTGTAGCTGTTAGCCCTCAGGCGAGGGGAACGTGGGAGCTTCAAAGTAAGAGCCGGTATCCTCCCAGCCTAGTCGCAAATTCAGTAAACAAGCGTAGGATTAGTCAATATTCTTTATGTCTGGACCAAAGAGTAAAGAATATGTATGCTCTTATTTGGCACAATACAATTTGAACTGATTGACTTTATCAATTCACTATAATTTCTTGAGAAGGAGAATGATGTTTTCTTATATATTAAATATTACATTAGAAACTTTATTAGTATAATTAGTTATTTAAGAGTTATCAAAATTACATATTTATTTCAATTGCCTATTAGTAACACATAAGCAATTTGAATTGCATTTTTATGATTAAGTATTGATTTTCTAAAATCTTAGTTCATAGTTCTAATGGATCGATATCTAAGATCGATATCTAAGACTCCATTAGAGCCCTATATAACTTGAGCGATACGTATACTTGCGTTGATAAGTGTGACTTTACCATTATTGAATATTTTATATATACATCTTCATCGAATCTATAACCGTTATTAAGTTTTTGGAGCCGTTGCTGAGGAATTAAATCTTCTAGCAACAGTATTAAATACTTGTATTTTTAAGCATATATAAAGTTGCTGTCATTGTTCTATTAACTAAAAAGTTAAGTAGGCTAGCAAGAAAACAAATTGGTTGTAGAGCTTTATGATAGAACTTGGCAAGGAGCAATAAAATGGAAAGATTTACAGTGATATTCTTAGTGTCATTCATCTAACACAAAACATCGTATTTCATGTCAAGACAAAACAAATTCAGCTAAGGTATAATTTCATATGTTCGCTCATAAAAAGTAGTCAATTATGTTTGAAGATGATATATACAACTAAGAATCTTGTAGATATGTTGATCAAAGCTATAATAGCTTAAATCGAAGCTACGCACACACTAATGTTTAGAGGAGCAGGTTTGATTGCAATTAATTTCAAAGTGAGAGATTATTATTACGTGAAGCTTGATTGTTTTATGATGCAAAATCTTGTAGATGATATTGATGATAGAAAAGGTATAACATGTTATATTTTCATTTTGAGAAACACAACAATGTGTTTGGTTAGGAGTTACAGAAGATTGTTGCTCTATTAACAATAAAAGTTGAGTAGGCTAGCCAAAAAATAATTTGGTTGTAGAGCTTTATGACAAAACTTGGCAAGGAGAAAAAAAAATGAAAAGCTTCACAGTGATATCATTAGTGACATTCATCTAACACAGAACATCGTATTTCATGTCAAGACAAAGCAAATTCAGCTAATATATCTTTTCATCCATTTACTCATAAAAAGTGGTCAATTATGTTTGGAGATGATATATACAACTAAGAAACTTGTAGATATTTTGACCAAAGCCGTAATAGCTTAAGTTGAAGCTATGCACACACTACAGTTTGGATGAATAGGTTTGATTGAAATCAATCTCAAAGTGAAATATTATTGATTATTATTATATGAAGCTTGATTGTGTTAATAAATTGTTTGATTGGAGCCCTGAGTTTTGAGCAAAATTGATGGTGAGTTTGTCGCGTGCCTAGTTTTTTGTACCCAGTGTTGGCCATCACTATCCTAGTGCCTGAGAAATGGTGTCACAACACACATCCTAGGCTTCTAAATCGAAGAGCACGATACTACAGTACTCAGGTGCAGCACCCGAGCATGCATTGGTGCGCTATAGCTCCACTTTCTCTCGCCCAAGTGCTAGTAACCGGATTTGAGTCATTCTCCAATTAATGTTTGGCTTTGCTGATCAAAGGATAATGCAATTTCATTGTGTCTTGTGCAAAGGCATGAAGATGAGCATACTGAAGTGTACCAAAGTTTGGAGAGGTTTGGGTGTGGTGTTATATATATAATTATTCACATTTTTTTATATTGAGTTTTTTGATGTGGTGTGGCTCTGATTTTTTCCCGTTCTTTAGATTTTATAGTTAAATTTTGTGTCTTTGTATTTTCTTATTTTATGCGCTTCTGTTTAAAAATTTATTTCATATTGCTCGAATCTATTTTTGTGAATTTCAATGCATCTCACCCAATAGTACTTTATATCTTTTAAGATTATTGATTCATATAAGGATGATTTAGCATGTATAAAAGTTATTGTCATAGAGTTACGTAAAAAATAGCTTTCTATAATTTCTTGTAGGTATCATAAAAAATGTAGCAATTTTAATCGCCTGTTTACTCTTACATCTTTGTATCAAAATATATCCTCTAAAATCATTTAAGTAAACTTTTAAATTTAGAGGCTCGATATGTAAATAGATAGCTTTTTGCTGATGATATCCTTCTCGTGGATAGGGTTGTAAACGAGCCGAGCTTGAGCGAGCTCGGGCTTGGCTCGTGTTCGGCTCATTCGAAATAGCTCGTGTTCGAAATCGGCTCGTGAACAGTGTTCGTGTTCGGCTCGATTTAAATATTCGTGTTCTGCTCAAAATTGGCTCGTTAAACTAAAATTGAGAAAAATAGATGTAAAGTGTGGGATTCGAACCTGGATCAAATCTATACAAAAAAAGACACTAACCACATTGCCACATGAGGTGTTATGATTTAAACTTAAACATAAATATATATAATATATTATTATATAAATAATATATAATATATTGTTATGAAACATGTTGTGTTGGTGTTCGGCTTCGTTTACATTTCGAGCTTAAAAATTTGTTCGTGTTCGGCTCGTTAGGCTTAACGAACGAGTCGAACACTAGCTGCTTAACGAGCCGAACACAAGCTGTTCACGAGCAACGAGCCAAATTGACAGCCCTACTAGTGGATAAGACTCTAGTGACAAAAGTGTAACTTTGGGTGATCAAATTATTAAAATGTGTGATCGATTTAGATATCTCGTGTCTGTTGTTCAAAGCGATCGTGATATAGATGGGGATGTTAATGGTAGAATTCAAGTTGGTTGGTTGAAGTGGAAGAATGCTTCGGGCCTTTTGTGTGATAGAAAAGTACCGCTTAGACTGAACGAAAAATTTTGTAAGATGGTGGTGAGACCTGCAATGCACTATGGCGTTGAATGTTGGCCTTTAAAATAGAAGCATAATACTAAGTTAAGTGTTGCCAAGATGAGAATGATTAGGTGGATGAGTGGCCTTACACTTAGAGACAAAATGCGAAATGAAAATATTCGTGATAGGGTTGGTGTAGCTCCAACGATGGATAAAATTAGAGAAAGTCGTCTTAGATGGTTTGGTCACATTAAACGCCGACCATCTGAAGATCTGATTAGGAGAGTTCATGTTTTTTATTCGACTTATGTTAAGAAAGGCGGAGATAGACCTAGGAAGACTTTAGCTTATTGTATTAAAAAGAATCTTAATTTATTAGAACTAAATGAAAATACGACACTAAATAGATGGCAATGGAGAAAAGGATTCATGTAGCCGCCACGTAGTAGGATTAACGCTTTGTTGTTGTTGTTGATATGTAAATAGATATGCATTGAGTGGTATGTAATCAAGTAAATCTTCCTTTCTATAAACGCGAGGCACCATGAAAATAACTCCATTACCAAACCGCAAAACACATAAAACAACTTCAACTTTAAACAATAAATAATCCGCAATGGCTGCAGCAACGGAAGCTTACCTGGAATATTTGGTGCGCTTGAAATAACATGTGGAAGATCAAAATTAATTCCTTTGATATGAGGGTATCTGGAGATGATCAGCCCAAGCATTGTCCCTTCTCCTCCACCAACATCTACCACCTCCGACAGAAACTCAAAACCCTTGTAAGCCTCCACTATGTTCCCCGACGTCAGTTTAGTAACACTCGCCATGTACTCGCAAAATAGCTCGCCAAATCGACGGTCCTTAGTAGCCATATATTCAAAGGGATCCGATCCATTAGCTTTTGTAAAAGGGTCTATGTCTTCTAACACAGCATCCTTCAAATATTGCCTAAAAAATTCATAACTGAATTTATTTGGTTTTTTGCAATCATAATATAAATAAATTTATATTGAAGGACTGATTTGGGGGTTTAGCTCTAGATTTATGTTGGTAAATTATGTGGAGCAGAATCATCAAGACTGATTTCCTACCAATGGAAATGTTTTTGTTAAGATATTATGACCCAATTATTGATTGTTCTTTCTTAAAATTATGACATATACTATTTAAAACTAAAATAGCATATTTGATTATTTTATATGATTTGATCTTCAGTTTTGGTGACATAATGAAGATTTTTGTGATTATTTTGAAGCTATTTACAACAAAAGTTGAAAATATTTATGCATGAAAGATCATGATTTTAACATAAATGCAAAGATGAAAGAAAATAAAGTGGGGATGTACATACAAATCACCCAATTTTTATGTATTTAGACAACGCCTAAACTTTATTTTTACATTTATGCCACCCAATTCCTTCATATCACATTAAAAATATCATAATTTTAACTTCTAAAAAGTGAGAAATACAGAATTTCATTCACAGGCAGAGTGGTACGTACGTAAAAATTAAAACTTTGGTGTTTGATATATACATAGATAGAGGTTAAGTGGTATTCTTGTAAATCATTCAAAATAAAGACATTCACAATAACTACCCCACGAATTCACATAAATAACACCAAATTCCTATTTGTTTACATATTTAAAATCTAAACTTTATTTTTCACATTGATGCCACTCAAATCTCTTATATTACATTTAAAATAATATTATTTTAACTTTTAAAAATTAAAAAACACATGTTCATACACATATAAGATGACATGTGTAAATATTAAAATTTATATGTTAGATATGTAAACAAACAAATTACATGGTATGTTTGTAAATCTTCCTAAACTATTCACATAAATTACGACATTTATCCGAAATATTTATTGAAAACTAAAAGGATTCAAAAATCATAAAATGGAAAATTTCTTTTCAGAAAAACATCACTGTTGACGAACATTCGCCTCGAAGTAAACTTCGCTTAAAACTTTCCCCTTACCAGCTACCAAGCGAAGCCTGATCTCGTGTGACCAAGAAAGCAGGAGCAAGTGAGACGCCATCTTTGTTCTTCGCAAGAAACCGATATATGGGTTCGAGGGCGTACCGGCGCTCGATTGCGCCGGTGGAGGAGGCGGAGCAGGCGGAGGAGAACCGGAGCACGGAGTGGCTGGCCAGAAAGCGAAGCACGCGATCGAGGCGAGGGGCGGTTTTGCTAGGATCAGAGTTGGAGATCTGGCAGGCGATCTCGCCGGCGGAGAGGAAAGTGTCGGGACCTGAACGAGCTAGGATGTTGAATATGTCGAGCTCAATTGCGGCCTTGACGGCCATGGCGACGCCGTGGTATGAAAGGAGTTGCAGGGTTGCAAGATAGGCCGCCTCGTCGTCCTGCAATTGCGCTGGTGTTGATGGCTCCATCGTTCGCCTTGCTGTTTGCCTCCTGCTCTGTCCAGCGATCAGGGATTGAGCAGTTTTTCTGATTTGATTGTTTTTCTTTAATTTTATGTTTTTGTGTGGCGGGCAGTTTTTCTGCGTTTTGGGGGGTTTTGGTTGTTGGGGGGTTTTTTTTTTTTTTTTTTTTTTTTGGACGTGGCAGGTGGGCGTAAACGCTTGACGAGCCGACTGAATATAAGCTCAAATAATCTAAAAAATTCCTCCAATCAAGGGCATTATATTCAACCAAAAAACTTCTTGTACAGCAATAAAAGCAGTTTTCAATCTTTATTGATGATATTCAGAGATGGCATGGAGAAAACTTATCACAGAGTAGTCGACCGTCGAATCAACCAGTGTGTCGATCCTCGATAAGGAGTAGGTTAGTCAAGTCAACGCACATCCTTCATTTGCAGTTGGGCTTCCAAACCATCATCATATTCGAGAGCCAGGTAGGGTACTGCATCTCTTTGACGTAGCTCGCCTCTTTTAGCTTGCGGGCTTCTGCTGCTATTGGTTCAGTAAATGCCCTTACGGTTGATCTATTTATCTGTTTCACCGGTCGAGTGAAATGGCTGATATTGAGCTAGTGGCATGTGATGTCGATTAGGACTTCGATCATCTCCGCGGCTGTCCACGCAAATACATCTTAATGCGTGTGGAGGGTCTGGATCAGCAGGTTTTTGTGCTCTGCATCGAAGTTCTTGCTAATTCGAAAAATCTTACCAGGCTCATCCTCGCTAGTTATGGGCACCGGGAGAACAGTTTCACTAGTCTCGAGACATCCCTACCTCTCGATTAGAATCTCGAGTGGTTCCTGGTCGACACTGGTGACCACCCAAAGATTACAGCTCATGGACAGCTCTAAGTCCCTCGGAGTGTGATTATCTCCCCATCTCCGAGGAATTTTACGGTCACATGACAGGTCAAAACTAATGCTTGATAGTTGTATAGTAATGGTCAACCAAAGATTGCATTTTAGGTTGGTGGGGTTTCTACCATCAAAAACCTCCCGATGTTGATAAATTATTTTTCTCGTTCTTCCCATGAGACAGGCAACGTGATAACGCCAAGGGCTTCATTCTTCTCACTTGAGAAGTTGAACAACATGTCTGTTGGTGTCATCAACCGGTCAGTTTTGAGTCCCATTTTGTCGAATATCATTTTAAACAGGAAATTGACTGAACTCTCGGTGTCGACTATGATGTTGCCCACTTGATAGTTGTTATGAGGGCACTGACAATAATTGCCTCTTTTTGTGGGTTTCTCTTCGAGGGGAGATCTGCATCTATAAAAGTGATTGTAAGGTGGGCTTCAGTGTAACATTTGACAGAACATCCCTCTCCCGACTCGTGTCTCTTAAGCAGTCGGGATAACCTTCCACCTCTGTCAAAGATAGTCGGGATGATCCCAACCAGGTGATTTCGTTTTTCTGAATAGGTCCATCTATGGGTCCCTCTACTGAGGCCTTTCCCTGTCATTTTGTGTGGCTCCAACGGTGATGAACTCTTTCAAATTCTTGGCCCATATGAGCTCCTCTACCAAATTCTTGATGTGACGACATTCCTCATGTCGTTCCCTTGGTTCTAATGGTAGGAACAATATTTGTTTGGAGGTGACGACATTCCTCCATGTCATTCCCTTGGTTCTAAAGGTAGGCACAGTATTTGTTTGGATTGCATAGTGTTGGTGCAGTCCTTAGTGGAGGGGCTTTCTTGAAGTAGTACTTATTTTTAATGGCTTGGACTAGTTCGGCCATCGCATGGGTGTTGAAATTTTCATCTCCTGGTATACGTGCGACCGCTCAAAGTATCAGGATGACCGCTTATTGGAGGAACATCATTGTTGGCTTTGTTTGCTCTTCTGGCTAACTCGGTTGCCGTTCGTTTGACGATCAAGGGCTCAGTCACACTTTAGCCTTTTATCGTCGTGTCGACCCATCCACTTTTGTGGCTGGGGGTTAGATACCTTTAGTTTAATTTCTAAAGATTCCATAAGGTCTTCTTCTGTTGTGATGTAATCATTTTCTAGTTTCAAGACCTCTATGAAGGTCCTTGGTTTGAGTAAGTTTTGCTCATACTTGAATTGCTTGCTAGGGGTCCCTTGTTTCAGGGCGGTTCGGGTGATGAGGGGCTATAATTTCTTTACCTCTAGCATTTTTTTCTAGCATGGGTGATGTAACCCCACAAAATTTCGTTCTTCCCATGTCTCATCTGAATCAGGGTTTCAGCATCCTTCCTTGATTTTTGTATGTTAGCAAAGTACATCAGGAATTGCTTTCAAATTTCAAAGAATGACACGATGACTCCATCTAGTGGTCTAATGAACCATTAAAGTGCATCTTCTTTCAGTGTGGTCAGAAACAGTTGTTACTTCATGGCGTCATTGATCTGTAAGACACAAATCGTCGATTCAAAAAAAGTGAGGTGGTCGGTCAGGGCGCTCTTTCTTTTATAGGTATCAAAGTGAGGAATCCTAAGCTTTGTTCTAGGATCTTTTATGAGAAGGCACTACCCATGACCGGCTGAGAGAAAGTTTACACTCAGTCCACTAGATGTGGGATTGCCGGCGTAGATGTAACAATGTTTGTCGGGCCAGTCATCAGGGCAACCGTAGGGTACTGACTGACTGTCAAGGGGGCCTTCTGGTGTGGTTTGCCTCCATGGGCAGATGTTGAGTGTTTTAAAGAATAATGACCACCGAAAGAGCCTCAAACTGGTCCATTATTTGAGTTCACAATGCCTGGACCTCTTCTTGTACGTCTTGGTGCACCATCTCCCTATTAAACTCCATGAATGTTATGTATCTCCGCAAGGATTCTCCTCCTTACTCATCTGAGGCATGTCCACACTCACTGCACCACATTTTAGGATGTTGAATCCTAAATTGTCTTTTGTGGAAACACGCCTTGAGAGTTGGAGCCGGGAGAAGGAGGACAGTAGAAAGATTAAAGTAAATGAGGAAGTTCTTGTAGTGGAATGGGGAGAGGTCCTCTTATTTATCCTTTTACCTCATATTTATATAGGTGTATTTTAAAAATTATAGAAAGGAGGGAACGATTATGGAAATTATCCTTAATGACATTTAAACATGATGATGTGTTGCCAAGTTTATATTACAATTTGAATTCAATTATGGCACGAAGCGGCTGGTCGACACGCTTGAGTTTGATCGACCAAGGTGATCAGTCAAGTGGCAATTTTTCTAGTCAAAGAAAAAGATCGATCAGTCTATATATTGCGGTTGGGGGCCCTTGTGAAGAGTTTAGGCGGTTTGAGACTATAAGCATGACTGACCAACTAAATCCTTCATCCTAATGTGTCAGATGGCTCCGATTGAAATTTCGGTCATTGGATGGTCGACTTGGATCACGTTTTTGTAACTTGATGACTTGCCTCGATTGTTTGGCTATCATCGTCTTGAGCTGCTCAATTGTTTTGACCTTCATGCCAATGGTTTCAGTGTATACACTATTTTAGATGATTATCAATTTGAAAACATAATTTTGAGAGTTTGACAAGAAGCTTTCTTGCTGCTTTTCAGTGTCGGTCATCCGCGGAATGGACAAAACAGGAATGGGGGAGTAGGTGCTTTCCACGGCTTTGGCTTCTTTTTGGTTGCAAAATCTCATTCTTACCCCTTTAGAAATGTCACAATCTCCACTCATGACTTTGATATTAACCCTCGATTTGTCTTCTCCCCCTCACCCTTTTTCTCTTCCATTGCAGCTTTAGGGCAAAATCCCGATCTCCTTCTCCCCTCCACTCTTCCCCATTGT